GAACGCACCTAGTCCGGAGTCCATTGTATGCATCATCATTTCCAGAGTAGGACCGTGGACGTGGTATATTTTTTCATTTTTACACCTTGGTATTTTTCAGAGTGACATGCTAGTTTGGGCAACTAAATAAAATAATAAGATGTGGATCGTTTCATTCATTCCTCTATGATTGTCAAATCGCTGGTTAGGTATCAACTAGTTAATTATCTAATTATTTGCTTAATTGAGTTTATTCGGCTTAACTTCTATTGGTCTTCAGCGGTTTACTCCGGGAACGTATGCTTTAGAAATGTTAATCTCTTGATACTACAATACTAGTATCGTTGCGATGATGAATCACTTTTAATACCTATAATATGTTTTTGTGAAAGCGTCTAATAAAAACTTTTTGGGGACTTTATTTCTACTGCTGGGTTTTTACAGATTTAATCGTTAAGACCCATTTCCAAGATGAGTATACTCGCCCCATATTCGTTAATGCACTCCCATTCCCAGCAGCTTGGCATACCGAAACATCGGCATTCTCATAGTAAGCCTCATTTATCGCATCTCCTTGAATTATATAACTGATCACAGCTTCATTTTATACAGGCATTATTCACTCCTTGCTAGAGAAACTTCTTATTTAAAACCGATACACGTTAATTGTCACAAGAAAGCTTCCCTCTTGTAAACATACTTTCATCATTAATTTTTTTGAAAAAAGGTTCGCGAGGTTCTTGCTAAACACGAAGAGGGCGAGGTGCGTTCGCAGATTTTGGATGCTATTCGTGAAGACCACGATCGCGTAATCGATATAAACGACCTATTCCTTGCTCTCCGGCGAATTCAGAAGGTGCCCGATGATGCGCGATGGCAACGAATACTTGAGGTGCTGGACGAGGATCATGATGGCAAGATCGAATTGGATCATGTGCTTAATGTGAGCAATTTACTTCATATTCTTTGTCACCAAATTTTCATTGTAGCAAGCTAATTAAATTGCCTTTATCTTTATAATTATTAATCAGTTATGATAATGTGAAATATTTGGAGATTTTGAGTAATAATGAATAGGAAAGCGAAGCCTATGGGGTTCGATCACAATGCTTGCTTGGGATATTAGGGATCGTGATGGTTACGATGTCTACGTGACAGGTAGCCTTATTACGTTTCCAATGTTGGAATAAATAGAGATTTTAATCAGATTGGTGTCTGAGATACTCAAAAAGCTGATTGAAACGGTATTATTGAGCCTAATGATTTGGATTATTACTTGAATTACCTAAAGTCTACCTATAAGCCTCATTGTGATCCCCCTAGTTGCATGCATATATATATATATATATATATATACTCTAAACAATAGCTTGAATTATTTTTAGGGTCAGTCTAAGAGTGCTCAGAATCAAATCTGCTGTGCTAAATCATGGTTATAAAGCGAATATTCTATAACACTCTTCCGTCAGCAGCCAATTTAAGATAAATCATCTTCGTGCAATCTTTTTTGTCCTGCTCTAGTAATTTTTCCTGGGTTATATTAACATTCATGCTTCTTAATTGCACTTTATTGATATTTGATGGTAATACCTCTTTTGCATATACGAGGCACAAGATTTGTGGTGACCTCCCTCCATAAGGCTAGTTTGATATTTTTGCGGCACTAATGCAAATTCAGTATGAAAATATACCTTTTGATCGTATTCTTTCAGAATCTGACCTTTATTGGGAAAATTCTTAGGCGTCTAGCTAGCATCTGAATCAGCACCATCACAGAAGATAATTATG